TGGCTTCCCTCCAACCAATTATCCGCAATATATTTTTGAAATTGTCGCAAAGCCATCGACCGGTGCGATATCGCATTCTTTTGCTCTACAGTCATCTTTGAGAACGTCGAATTGAAGCCAGAGGGAGCGAAACATGTGTCCCATCCAAAACCGTCATCCCCTTCTTCAGGCCGGACTATTTCTCCATACGTGATTCCGGTAAAGATCAGTGGTTGACACCCTGGTCCTGGGCTGAAACCCACATTGCAAACGGCTTTCGCTGAGTGATCTTCGTAATTTTCTATCATTCTAAATAGGCCTTCAGGACCGAGTTGATCCAAAAAGTGCTTAATGTACGGCCCCGGCAAATCGCCAAGCGCGTCGAAGCAGAGGCAGGTATCCTCAACGAGAACAGGACCCTGTACGGCTTGCGCAGCAAGCCGTGTCTTCTCAATTGCGATCACGAGTGGTGTCTCTTGTAGTTCCGGTAACTCAATGTCCAATGTCACAATGTCGAAAGGCACTTGGAGGCCCCCTTCCGCTAACAAAGCCTGTACCTCCCTTGTCTTCAATGGATTACTTGTCAAAAATTTTACCTCTAAGCGAGTCACAGCTTGACATTTGCTTCCATGCTTACTATTTATCGCATTGTTCGAAGTACTCGACACTACAGTCTTATGAAATGGGTTCCACGATCTGTGTCGAGCAAAAGGTGGACTGATGTATACCCCCCAAATTGACCGAAATTTAAACCGCACAGAGTAGATTGACTCCCGGTGCAAGGATACTGGGCAGAAAGAATTAAGAAGGTGAATCAGACATAAAAATATCACTGTTCGCACCAAAATATGTCTGTTCATTTCTGGCTCCAGCCGAAATTCTTCGCAGCGTCCGTCGTCTTGTCCCCCGATCCCCTCCGCTCAGCGACACTCCCTTCCCCCGTCCAAGTGCCCTGGAACGCCTCAGTATCGCACCTGCTGAAGATCGTGGATGGTATTAGATACCAATCATAACATCGTATCGTATGAAAACGGCCACGCTAGTTTAAAAGGAAGTGCATGCTGCGAATGAAAGTCTCCGGAATGCAAGACAATCTCGCAGACGCATGATTTCGCTTCTCGCCGAGTTTCCCTCATCACAGGCTTCTACGGATGAATCACTGCCCGGTGATTCAAGGCACAATTTCAACGTGTGGCCGGAAATCTTAGGTCATTTTATCTCACAGGCTTGTCTCGCCTTCACCCAACGCTCACACTTCGAGCCAGCGGAAGGGTAACCAAAAGAAAGCAACCTTGAAGGGGCCGCAAGCCTCCTTACTGCTAGTCAGCACTCAAGCGAGGCAATCCGACATGAGAATAATTATGAACCTTTATTCCCTAACATGTGTGCATCACTTTGTCTCTTCTTTTTGCATGGTTTAGGATGGCTCACGGTAGCCGTTGCCTGACTTCTGCCTTCCGTCATTTTCGCTCTCCTTATGAGATGACGGTGGGAGCTCGGTGGTCGCCCGGCGGCTGCCATAGAAAGCTGTCCACAGAGGCAGAATCAACCTCGCTGACGTCGAACAAAGGTGCGCTGGGGATGGATTTGTTGAGGTCTGCGGTTAGATGCCTATCTTCATGCTCTCGTTTAAAGATAAGTTTCAGTAATACCACTTGTTTCCTTGTAGATCTTTTACTACTTGTAGCCGGGTGAAGAAAGGATATTGAAGCAGAGGCTGGCAGGGTGTTTATTTGAAAAGCTACTTCTCAGATACCGAAAAGTACATGCAACTCAATAAATTCACCGAAAAATTAAATAGGTTCATCCTTCTTCCAGCGGTTGTCTTCTTTTCTAGCTGGCGTAGGGGTTACATCGTTGGTGGGCTACTTTTTTTTAATTCAAGACGTCAAGCGGTACGTGTCCAAGAGCGTAGGCTCTTATCTAGTGAAGACATCTTGACTTCTTTTAGCGTATATTGTACATAGTGTCTTTGTTGGACAAGAGTTTGTCATTATGGCATGCCTTCTCTGTACGGGTCTCCGACAGTACCTACTCTTCTCATGGAGGCTAAATCTCCGAGCAGGGGAGATTCGTATGTAACATGAATTATTTTAAGTTTTATATAGTGTAGGGTTTGTGTCGATTTTTAAAAATTACTTTTATCCTTTTAAATAATTCAATGCGGGCAGACGCTCTCGACACTCCCCCCCTGCTAAACAAAGACATGTGCATTATGAATGTCCATGATGCAATTGTCGACGTATGTATAGCAAATCGAGGTTTAACAGCATTCTCCCCCCAGAATTCCCCCTCTCACAAGGTTTGTTCTGCATCCTTCCTTTCTTCCATGAAACATTATGCATGCAACAGCTCGACTGATTCCGTCCAGTTGGGGCTGAATGACATCACGAAGAGACTTGAGGCTCTAGAAAAAAAGTGACCTTCTGAGAGTAGTGCATCAAGCCTCACATAAGCGGACAGAAGCGTGCGACGGTGTTCGAGTTTCAGCAAAAGAAAAGAAGTCAGACCTCTCACAGGAGGACCTCCACCGGGAACATAAAATTTGAGGTCCTTCTTTGCAAAGTGGTGCCTTCCAATTTTCTTGATTTCTTTTTAACCGGACACATCCATGACCGTCCTTTGTGACAATACCTTGGCATATTTGTCTTGGTCCACTTTTATCGCCTGTCAGTCTTTCTTCCGCCATAGCCTCTGTTGTTGTCCTCTTGCAGCAGCTGCTCGTTGAACTCGCGCTTACCGAATCCTCGACGTGCAATAAGCAGTTCCGCGCTTTCGCGACGCATTGACATTAATGGACGCCAATCCTCGCATTTTAAAACTTTCAAATGCATCGCTTTTCACTGATGTACCCGAATGAGTGACTATTTCCGGGGAGTGCCCGGGAGGCGTGATGGTGTGGGCTTGGCATGGCGCGAGTCGGTTGGCCGGTGGGTTGCTGCTGCATGCACTTGCCTGCTCCCCGCCCCAGCGTGCACTTGCCTGCTCCCCGCCCCAGCGTCAACATTTTGTGCCCACAGCCTCACATCGCCAGTCCTCCAGTCTCTCTCATCGAACTCTCCATGCCACACGCTCTTATGTTGATTTTTTACACAGGACGCGGTGAGGACTTTCTGGCCCACAATCATGAGACTTGATCTACTCTGCTGCTTCTTCGCGCCGGTCCTCCTGTCTCGAGGCGAAGCATTCCTTGTGACACCACCCCTCAAAAAGCTGCAACATATATGCTCCACTGCTAGTGCTATACTGGGTTCTACTACTCACCCAATGGCCAATAGGAAGATCCAGTTCTCCGACAATGAAGACAAGTGAGTCGTAACGCACGTTATTCGCTTTAGTTGGCGTGTAATGAGCTGGGATGGCGTAGAAAAACACGATATCATACTAACCTTATGACTCCTTCTTTATCGAAACATTGATGCATTAGCACGGATCGCGTGACACAAGTTGAATTGCGTGGGGATGGAAGCGTCAGCTTTATCTCCGATAGCACCAACGCTGTAGACGTGCAGGGTAGCTGGCGTCCTGGTGATGAAGGAAAAGTCGGCTTTCTATTGGAGCGCTTTTACTCCGATAGCGGAGACAGTAAGTATAGCATGACAAGGATTTATGAAGGTACGATTACGATCTCGGGCACCTCTATTCGCGGTGAAGGTAGGATTGAGATGGAAAAATACAATGATCTCTTCACGTGTGGCTTCTTTTCCTTGATAAGTGTTGACGACGACCCGGACGATTTTTTTGAGAAGCTAAAACCTGGCCACACAGTGATGCAAGGGATTGATCAGTGATGGTCGCATAGCATCACGTGCATCTAACAGTACGCGCGTGAGCGATGCTTTCAAGTGCCGCATTCCGCAGTCCCTCAGGGATGTGGGGGCTGCAAATGTGTGCGCCTGAAGCACTTTGTGTTTGTCGAAGAATGAATAGAAGACGCGAAACGTGACTGTTATCCATCGAGTTTTTATTACTTTGTATACTATAAACTACTATATGTGAGAACGTCTTTTCCAAAATCTACGACCGATAAAGTCATTAAATTTAATGCTATAATATTACGCGTCCTTATACAACTTTAGGCTGGCGCTGCTGTCATAGGGTTGTTACGAGGCTCAAGAAATTGTTTTTGGTGAACAAAGGCGTAGTTTTTGCATGTAGCCTTTCCACACGTTGCTCCAAATACCGTCTGTCGACGAGAGATGGAGCCGGGCAATTTCAGGGAGGCCCCACACGATGCCCAGGGCCATTCCGCACAAGGCAGAACCGGTATATTTTGCTCCCCTCAACGTAGATACACAGAAATACTAGGAGTGAGTGTCATGCTCAAAAATTAGCGAATCGATGCGGAGAGAGAGATCTTTGACATATCCAACGCAAGTTCACCCAGCATAGACACGGGCCCTGTCAGCGAAGTCGTGGGACACCGGAATGCATCCGAGATCTCCTTCCCGGCAAAGCACAGCTCACTATGGGAAGCATCAAGCTGCAAGAAATGAAAGGGCGGGACCGAAAGTGGCGCACGACCGCGCATTATGCCATTCGACAGCTTGTTTTACATCTTGAATCGTCTGTCATCAGAAGCCAACTTCTCTTTGCACCTCGCGGACGGCGCAATCCATGTGGGATTTCCCGAAAAGCAAGGCGATCACTAGGGAAAGAAGTTCTAGCGCATTTTGTCCGTTGGTTTCAAGATTTGGCGAATAGAGAGGATTCCCGCATCAAGCCCTGCATGGTGGTGGACCCCGTACTACCAGGTTCGAAAGCCATCGAAGGCGTGAGAAAAGGGCACAATTTCCGCAAGGGAAACGCCCCTCTCTCGGAGGAGTATCGCACGGCTGCTCGAGGTAACACAGGATGCTGGTCGTAAACACAGGTGGATAAAACTTCTCACAGTATCATAATAGCCATCAAGTAGCATTTCGTGATACATGAATATGGTATGAGCCGTGTTCAGGTCACCTGTGATTGATCGTGTTCCAAACAATGTTTTATAATCAATCACGACTCCTGAAAAGCTGAAGCCTTAAATCTTATTATTATTTCTGTTCGGGTTGTTGATAATTTTTTGCTAATTCTTAGCTCTATCTATCTCTAGTCAACTATTTAGTCTTTGCCTACATTATACAGTGTAAGCATTTTGACCTTCTCGCATCAACCTATGGTACAATTTGTGTACAGCCCCAACAAAAGTGATTTCTCGCCTTTAAAACCTCAGACTTGCCGTTTTGTCCGCCGCAAAGAATGGAAAGTCAGATTCGATCGAACTCATTTACTCCATTTCGACGGCGTTACTGCAGTTGCAGACGTCGGATACAGAACGAAGTGCTGTATCATGAAAAGCAGGTCGAAAGCAATGGAAAATAAACCAAGATAAAACTTGAGGGCATTGCCGTTGATCCCTCCCCAGTCATTTGTGACGGCACAATCCACCAGAAGTTGTAGGACAGAGAAGACACCGCCTGCGAATTAGAAATGGGCATGTTGAATTTAGTGTAATCTACATTATGATCAGTCGCACTGTACCCAAACAACGCAGCAAAGACAAACTCAAGAATCATGAACAGACAAATAGTCCAACCTATCTGAAAAACTCGCGAAGCGAAGCGGGCAATAATGCTATAGGATGACAGATGATGAGTTTATAACCATGAAGAATATCCCCACTGTCCAAACTAATACATCAAAACGGGATAGGCTGTCATCACGAGCGGTGTAAAGCTTTACAAGAAGACGACGATTGACGTCAACTTTTCAACCCGCCATAATTTCCTGCGTACCTGTAAAGTCGCAAAGTACATTGTGAATCGACCATCCTACAGTGGACTTACGCCGATAATTTAAAAAGGCCTGGGGCACGCCTTTGATGACACTTACAAATAGCTTCATGAAGGATATGGTATATAAATAAAGCAGCCAATCAGAGGGCCCATCTCCTCTCGCACTTACTACCACTAAAGCTACACAAGTAATGACCAGCAATCCTGTCAGGACCATTAAGATAGGCCACGAGAGTCGCCGATAGATTCTTATGCCATCATAGTGAAGCATTTGGGCGACTGTCAAAGCAGTAAGAATTGTAGCATGACATGCGAAGACCACGTCTTGAATTGTCACCTTGTTCTCGTGTCCGTTATGTCGTTTTCTGTATGCTTCTTGAATCTGTGGGAGCAAGAAGAAAGAAAGCGCATATACGCTGTAAAAGAGAAACCCTAGGAGGTTGAGAAGCTCAAAGCCAAGAGACAGTCCTTCTGTATTCCGTTGCCTCCAATTGAGAAAAATTTGCGGGTAAAATGAAACTGTCCAGGCCAAAAAATAAATCCATCCTAATATATTTGAAAGCGTGGCGTAGCCCTCGTTACGGAGCTCTTTGTTTCTCGGCAATGCTAGACCCATAACGATGCCTGCCATGATTAGCACAAGAAAGGCTACAACCTCTCTTGACGCCTTTTGGAGCATACGAAGGCCGCGATCGTTTTGACGTGGCACTTGAGCATTAATGCAGTCAGCGCCTTCTTGAGTGTCACTGTGGTCGACTTTCTCATCGATTCTATTGTAAAGGTTAGTGGCAACTTCCGCCCCATCTCGTTTGCCATGGAGCAGCGGTACGTGCATGCCCTCGGTTTTTAAGCACCACGTATCAGTGCTGGGCCTTGCCTGACAATTGACACATATGGCTGCCTGTTACAGATGAGTGGGAAAATATGAAAATCTCATCAGAAGGTCATGGCAGCCTGGCAACAATTCATTCTCGCATTTGAGTTGGTACAACTTCATATAACATTGGCATCGAAGTTATCATTGCAAAGTGAGGGAGTCACTCAGTGCCGCAGCATATCCTGAAATGTTGGCTTGCTCGAAGTCGGAGCAGTACTATAAAAGTACTTTAAATGCAAGCGGCAAGCAAACTTAGGGGCCAAAACTTGCCGAGCTCTAACCGAATGGTAGATTGAGAAACTTGAAAAAGCTATCAGACGGAGCGAGGCAGCGTTTGGGTCACCTCTGAAGGAGGATAAATAGTTTAGCCGACGCATGTTGATGTCTGATATGGGAGGGCAAACCTGCTTAGCCGAAAGCACGATTGACTGCCTGAGCGAGTTGCATGGCTACTGTATTCAAGCTAGAACACCGGTTGTGATCATTCAGGAGTACAACTTGTGGGAAGAATTGGCACGACTGCATTGGGCAACATGTAGAAGAAGCTGAGGATCGAAAAGAGGTGGTCTCGCTTCACCGATCTCGAGATTTTGGGAGTTCCGAGTCCGAACAATGCATTTCAAGTGTATTCACGGTAAAATTTAAAATTATGCGTACACGTGTGCATGCTGTGTGCAGTGGGTAGACATGTCCGGGCCACACCTAAACAGACAGTGGTGGCGCGACAAGGATGGGCGAGGATGATGGCGACAGGATGGGGGATTCTAGTCAACCATTCGAAGTCGTCTACACGGCACAAATCTCAGTGAAAGCAGTCATATTTTGCGTTCTAAGGCCGACAGTTCTAGAAGCCCGATCATTCGGGCAAAGAAAAAGACGATGCAAAGAAAAGCGTGACGATGAAAACCAAGGATACGTGGGGGATGGCAGCCACCGCGGCGGTCACCGCCTAGAGGGGCGTGCAGCATGCCTCCCGATACAGGAAGCAGTGCACACCGACTTGAGGAGGCGCGGGAGGCATAAAAGTACACTCTCAAGTTTGATTAACCGACTTACAAGCGTTGTAGCACCTCTTTGAACCAATTTGATATGAAGATGCATGGTAGTCATTCGAATGGTGTGGAGTCGTGGGAATTTATGCTGATGGTATGTGATCTCGAGAAATTATTGAATTGAATACTTCGGCAAGGTTCCAGACAAGGAAATATCTCGTGTATAGGCTCAAAACATTGTTCTTATCTACGCGTCTTCACGTGTCATCTGTACCAGGATGGTCAGAGATTATTGAGCTCTGCACTTTGTATCCTCCTCTCCGTGCCTGGGCAGTATCTCAGCACAGTAGGCATTTGTGAATGAAATGGCACCACCAAGCGCGGAAAATTGCAGCAGCGGGATTAAAGCTTCAAATGCTAGTAATTTGGGATCAAACTTTTTCTTCACGGAGCTAGCGGACCAATCACAAGAAGATGTGAGTAAGCCTGTGACAGACGTTGCCGATAAGTGGAAGTTGCTGCCCCATTTTTTGCAGCTCCGGGGCCTGATGCGTCAACATATCGATTCCTTCGACTTTTTCGTCAACCGTGAGATCAAAGATATTGTGAACGCCGCATCCAATCGTGAATTGCGCTCAGAAGCTGATCCTAAGTTTTGGCTGCGTTATACGGACGTGCACGTAGGTGAACCGTCCGTAGACGACGACGCTTACGTGAGCTCCCGGGTGACCCCCTTCCAGTGCCGCCTTCGAGACTGCACTTACTCGGCACCCATTACTGTGGATGTCCGATATACGAGGGGGAGACAGATAGTGGTGAAGCGCGGAGTCATGATCGGACGGATCCCTATTATGCTCCGGTCCTGCAAGTGCATCTTGGCTGGGAGAAGTGAGGCCGAGTTGGCCGAAAAAAAAGAATGCCCTTATGATCCAGGGGGCTACTTTATTGTAAAAGGCGTGGAAAGAGTAATACTGATGCAAGAGCAACTGAGCAAAAATCGCGTTATCATCGAAGAAGATAACAAGGGCAACGTCAGCGCCTCCATCACGTCCTCAACGCATGACAGGAAAGGGCGCTCGAATATTTTTGTCAAAAATGGAACCAAAGTCTACCTGAAGAATAACTTGCTTGGGGACGATGTTCCAATTGTTGTGGTGCTGAAGGCGATGGGAATGCAGTCGGATCAGGAGATCGTATGTATGGTCGGAGACTCTCCCGAAATGTTGGACGCGTTCGCTCCTTCGTTGGAAGAGCCTTATCATCTAGGAATCTGTACCCAAGCGCAAGCTCTTAGATATATTGGAGCCAAAATTCGGAACACTACACAGAACCGAGGACCGGGTCCGTCTGGCATGGGTTTCGCGTTCTACCGACGGGCCAGCTCTCCGGAGGAGGAAGCTCGGGAAGTGCTTGCGTCGGTAATTCTTAATCATGTGCCAGTCATAAACTTTGACTTTCGAACCAAATGCATTTTTGTGTGCCACGTCATCAGGCGCGTGCTTCTTACGCACAGGGACCGCAGCCAACTCGACGATAAGGACTACTACGGGAACAAGAGACTGGAGCTGGCTGGGCAACTGCTTTCGCTCCTTTTTGAGGATCTTTTCAAGCGCTTGAATGTGCAACTGAAGAAACAGGCAGATCAGGGCCTGAGCAAGCCAAATCGGACGCAAAGTTTCGACGTGATTAAATGCATCCGGACAGATACGATCACGAATGGTTTTATTCAAGCCATCGCAACTGGAAATTGGAAGCTTCAGCGTTTCCGAATGGATCGACAAGGTGTAACGCAAGTTTTAACACGGCTTTCGTACATTTCGTGTTTGGGTATGATGACACGAATCAATTCTCAGTTTGAGAAAACACGAAAAGTCTCAGGTCCCCGCTCCCTTCAACCTTCTCAATGGGGCATGATCTGTCCGGCAGACACGCCTGAGGGCGAGGCATGCGGTCTGGTGAAAAACTTGGCCTTGCTCGCTCATGTCACGACTGACGAAGAGAGCGAGCCCATCCGTAAACTATGCTTCGATCTTGGGATCGAGGATGTGACGCTTTTGAGCGGGGCGGAGATAAACGCCTCAAGCAATTACCTCGTTTTTCTGAACGGACTCATCGTTGGATGCCATTCAAGACCCTTGCGATTTGTCCGCCTGTTACGTCTGTTGCGCAGGAAAGGGTTGGTAGCCGAGTTTGTGTCTGTGTGTCTACATGAAGTTCAGCGTGCAATTTACATTGCCACAGACGGTGGCAGGGTCTGTCGCCCTCTTTTGGTTTGTGAAAAGGGCGTGCCCCGTCTTACAAACATGATGATGCGCCAGCTCTCATCAGGCCTTCTGACTTTGGCAGAGCTCATTCGATGCGGTGTTGTGGAGTACGTGGACGTGAACGAGGAAAATAATTGTTTAATAGCTCTTGCTCAGACTCAACTGACAGTCAAGCACACACACATGGAGATCGATCCTTTGACTGTGCTTGGCGTAGTAGCTGGGTTGATACCTTACCCACATCATAATCAGTCTCCGCGAAATACGTACCAGTGTGCCATGGGAAAACAAGCGATGGGCACAGTCGCGCTCAATCAGTACGAACGTTTAGACTCGCTTCTGTACGCTATGGTATATCCACAAAAACCTTTGGTGACCACGCGCACATTGGATCTTGTAAATTTTAATGAACTTCCAGGCGGTCAAAATGCCATCGTGGCTGTCATGTCTTACTCTGGCTACGACATAGAGGATGCCGTTGTGCTCAACAAAGCTAGTCTGGACCGCGGTTTCGGTCGATGTCTCATACTTCGCAAGCATCAGACATCTCTTCGTAAGTATGCTAATGGTGCAGCCGACAACCTTAGAGGCCCACCCGAGGATACGGCAGCGGTATGTTCGGGGATGGGTGGGGAACCAAGCGCGGCACAATCAAATTTAGCTGGAGCATATTCAATTCGACGGGATCCACGATTACGACGCTTTGAGGCGTTGGATAAGGATGGAATCTGTCAGGTGGGAGAGCGGCTCGGAAATGGATCAGTTATGATCAATAAGGAGTCGCCAATATCTGTGGCAGATTTGAACATGGGAAGTGGAGCAGATCCGACGCCTTTCAAACCCACACCACTTTCGTACAAAGGTCCCGCCCCCAGCCACGTGGATCAGGTTCTAATTACTTCAAACGAAGGAGGAGACTTGCTTGTGAAGGTCAGTGTGCGACAGTGTCGACGACCGGAAGTTGGCGACAAATTTTCCAGTCGGCACGGCCAAAAGGGCGTTTGTGGAATCATTGTAGCACAAGAAGACATGCCATTTAACGATGACGGAATATGTCCGGATCTTATCATGAATCCACACGGCTTTCCCTCCCGGATGACCGTTGGGAAACTTATCGAATTCGTGGCGGGTAAGGCAAGCGTTATGATCGGACGGCAGGCATATGGGACAGCGTTTGGGGAAGACTTTGGAAGCGCTGATCGGGTTGTGGCTTGCTCTGGCGCTTTGGTTGAAAATGGCTTCAGTTATGTTGGCAAAGAGATCATCACGAGTGGCACAAGTGGGGAACCGCTACTCACATATATATTTCAAGGGCCCGTTTTTTATCAAAAACTCAAACATATGGTGATGGACAAGATGCATGCTCGCGCCCGCGGCCCCAGGGCAGTGCTGACGCGACAGCCTACGGAGGGACGGTCACGGGACGGGGGGTTGCGGCTCGGAGAAATGGAGCGTGATTGTTTAATCGGGTATGGAGCTTCTTCATTACTCACTGAGCGGCTCATGATTTCTTCCGATGCTTTCACTGCCACGGTTTGCGAAAGATGTGGCTTATTGGGGTATGCTGGGTGGTGTCAAAGCTGTAGGTCGTCAGAAAGAATGGCCGACATTCGTCTCCCCTACGCCTGCAAGCTTCTTTTTCAGGAACTCCAGAGCATGAATGTTATCCCAAAATTAAAGCTGATGGAGTTTTAATGGATGCGTTAACGCGTGGGCTGCGTGTCTGCTTGCCATGTAATCCAAAACAATCAAGTAAAGTTGCTGGAAAAATGCCGAGAAGAATTTTCCAATAACAAAGCTACCGTTTACGGGCTCTGTGATTTTTACATTTTTATTTGAAACAAATTGCTTGAAGTTTGGGCAGATGCGCTAAGTCACGTATTATCGCATCCTCCCGTTTTAGCTATACGAAGGCCCTATCCTCTCCTCGAAAAGATCGACTCCTCACTCGCGCTTGCTTTCTCCATAAGGTGTATTGGTTTTAAGATATTTGTCTTGTTGGCGTCCACTATGTGTCCATTAATTACCATTTCGTCAACAATGAAATGTGCCTTCTCCAAGTTGAACATTATGTCCAGCTCGCAGACGCTTTCAAAGTACTTATCTAAAGTCTCCACCAAGGCATGGATAAATTCCAAGATGGCCAACTCATTCTCGCACCCACCATTTGTACTTACGCTGTGGGCACTTCCCGTGGCATCATCTCCTTCTACACCCACAATGAAAAATAGTGACGCATACCGTCGGTAAATGACTTTATGCCCCCGGTATTCTATAAACTGACATTGAAGCTCAGAGCGGGACAAGCACTTTCGGATGATCTCTGCTTCCAGAGCGACACGTTCGGGAATGCTCATCCATGTATAGTAGCTAGAAAGCCTTGTTTGGCCCTGTTTGTTGACGAACAATATGAATCTAATCATAGCTTATGCCAGCTCAAGGCGAATTTCTGCGGAGAGGGATGTTTGCAGTGCCGTAAAGAGGATAAAGACGTTAGTCTGTGCTGTCAAGGGCCAAGATTCCGGATTGATGAGTATTTCCTTAATTTTGTTCCGTTTCGTAGACTGTGTGAGAAACAGGTCGGCTAATTGCATAAGCTATTCTGAAAAGAAAATGGTAGACTTGTTCATCCTGCTCGGGGCCAGAGTGATCCGGGTATCTTGATTACCTTCGGCACGAGTGCCACTGGAATCCCCCTTCAAACCGTCCTATGGCTAGGCAAGTACCAAGAGAGAATTTGGTCCTGCACTGGGCAGAAGCACAAGTATAAGAATTCTTATCTTAAGGGTCTAATTGCTGCAGGGCAAAATCGATGGCGGAACGCCCTGCTTCTCGCCACCCCTGTCAAACGGCTTCGCACGTCACCTTATTTACCCGGACGATGGCACAAAACAAAAACGGACACGAATGGTATGCTTTTCGAAATAGCTTTATCACAGCCTGCATGCCGATGCAAGCAATTGACAGTTATAAAATATCACTGGACTGGGCTCGGCGGTGCACTTTACAAGTTCGTTTTTTATGTCCTTGCCTCTTACTTTCTTTCAAGCTCAAAGATCACTCTTATGATAGAAATTATGCATTGAGTTGGTCGAAAAAAAATAAGGTCGTATTGACGGATGAAGTGAAAGTTTGTCAAGGTCGTGCTCGGAAACGTTCCTGTCTATCACAGATTAAAGACTACACTTGAAGCGACATTGAAAACCGAGTCGTCTCACCACCTGAAAAAGCCTTTCCCCGTTTATTTGTTTATCAAGGCGCCCCAACTCTATAGAAATAATCTAATCCAGGCAATTGGAAGACGACTCAGCGCTAAATCATGATTAATGAAGAATCTAGAAGATTGTATTCGATACATTGGCAATAATAGTTCAAGAAGGACCATATTGAGGTGATAAAATTTTCTCATTCTGTCAAGCTATTGGGCAAGGAAGTCAGAATTCTAGAGATTCAGAGTCAGAAATTCAGCGTACAACATGAATAGCGAGCTATATTAAGGTGCCTTTGTTTTCGGGTTAAGTCTTGGGCTTCACATTTAGGGACATCTTTACCGTTCACCTGCGTCCGGTATGGATCTTTCCATGCACACTTGCATCCAGGATTAATCCCATATTTAAATGAAGCTGTTGATCTGTGCTATATCGTGCCATTCAACGTACGAGAAGGCAACACCCAAATACTTTGTCACCCACCTGTACATTTCTACTTGCGCACCTCACCCTATACACACACATGAGTATTGGGATTAGACCTGTTGCCCTAGGTGTGACGAGACTTGGACAAGTGGTGCATGAGTTTTTCAGTCTGAAGTTATGTACGTATGTCATTCCGCACTTTTAGTATGAAGTAGAATGGTCGGAAATTTCTTGCGGCTCTTAAATTTGAGCCCTCCTCGCTTGATATTGTTCGTGTTGTTCGTGTTGTAGTAACGGATGTCACTTCATGTCCCCACCTCGCGATAGTATTTGCCGCGCAGCGTGGTTGTAGAAAAATAAGTGCCGCTTTCCATCCAAATTACCTGCGCCTTCACAGAGAATGCTGATAAAGGATCTCAACGATGGTAATATGATTTAAAATTCTGATTAAAGTGCACATCTGCAACGGCATAATTATACTATATATGCTGAAGATAATGTTGAGGGGAACGCGTGTATCGAAATGGAATCTTTTTGCGAGATGATTGGTGAAAAAGCGAGATGATTGGTGAAAAAGCATTGCTGTATTTCAAATGGTATGCCTTGAAGTTTATCGTAGGCTTTTTGGCTACGGAGCTCCTAGTGAAGTTACGCACGATGGTAATAATCCACTTAACACCTCACTGAGTCCTTCTTGAGGGTTCAAATAAATGAATTAAGGCGGTTTAACCACATCTTTCAAAAGAATCACAATTGTCAACCCTAACAGTACTCATTTTAATCCAAAAAGTGCAAAATCACTTAGAAAATCAAAAATGAAAGTATATCCGATTGGGAAGAAAATAAGCTATGATGAGTTTCACTTGAGAAACATGAAAGTAAAAGCAACATTGCTTTCGAAATCAAAACAACGCCACATGATATGGAACAAAAAATAGATATAAAGATGAAATCATGCGCTGTCTATATTATAGCCTTCGTTCTTTGTCGTTACACTTTCACGCCGTTTATGATAAAAACAAGGCGGTAGAGAATGATTTCCCGCCCAGGCAACAGGATAGGAAGTGCGGCAAGTATATGTAACCAGCATGGAAGAGTGATTGACATTACATGTGAAATCGATGCTGAGGTATTTGTACCGAAGCTTTTCTTTTAAAGCACGTCTGGGCTTTATGTGGACATCTCTATACCGACTGCAGCATCATATGCTGTTGACAAAGCGGAACTGCCTTTATCCTGCATGGAAGGCAAATCGCCTCCAAGTACATTTGAAAACGTATACACTTCCTCGAGGAATTGCCAAAAGGATATAGTCATTGAGCAAAAAGACTGAGTACTGTAACTTTGAAAAATTCGAGGCTTAAGAAATTGTCTCACTACTATCAGATACAAAATACTTTCGATTGATACTACAAGCGAGTATATTGCCAGGGCTGCGCGAGTGCTTCTTTCCACATAATGTGGATCACGGGCCGAAAATATCATCGCAATCACAAAATCTTGCATCGTGATAAGCAAAATAAAACCTTTGACGACCATGAATGCCGCAACGGGATTGAAAGCTGGCCAAATCTGTTGACGGAGGAGGTGATACGTACGTCCTATCGTCATAACGGCATAAACCAGGACCAGCAGACTCAAGATTCTAAATCCGCGTTCCCCAATTGATGCAAGCACTCCATGGCCCAAGCGGTCGCATATCGAACTGGCAGCCAAGAGGATCGGTCGAGAAATCATAACCTGCTTGACAGAGAGCTGTAGAAACGTGTAAATGCGTTGCGCGCTTTCAAATTGTAGCGAGATGCAAAGGCAGGCCGAAAATTTGAGTTTGTCGTTTCTTATTCCACTAACTTGAGCAACAGCCCCATTGACAGTTAAATCATCTTCCACTTTGGGCAAGGCGGCGGCCAAACGGGTGACCACACGACTCTCACCCCCCGCGCCAAGGATAACGAGGCCGAAAAAACAATACAGGGCGTAGCCGTCCACGATAGCCATGAACACGTCCCACACAGGTTTGCCAGACGTCACATACGCTGTCAAGAGGATGAAAAAGCTGTACGTGGGCGCTAAGTTGAAGAGCCGCGCAGCATTTCTTTGTAACGGTAAAACGTAGCAACGTATCGCGTGCTCTTTCTGCATACAAAGCACCAAAACCACGGCAAGGATCCCAAAAACGATGTTTAGAGCGCTCACTCCACCAGTTCCAATATACATCTCGGATGCGAGGCGCTCGACTAGATCTATCGAGATCAACACTCTTTGGAGTGCAGTAGGTCAGGTGAATGAGAAATCGGTGTTATCCGCCCAGATGTTTCGCTTGCAGGTAGCTTATCGGGTTAAATTGCAAGCTAATTCACTTGTAAGACCTAATTGGGTCAAACGAAACAGGTTTGATGACGTAGGGCATGAGGTAGTAGCCCAAACCCAAGTCCCTTCAGGTCTGAGGTCTTCTGCCGTATCACTGTGTAGGACGCCGAATCATTAGCGCGATATTGTGTACAAGTACCAGAATCGGGTGAGTATCTTTACGCCTAATAAGCAAATGTTGTCAGATCCCTCTGCCGGTGTCACGAGAAGTGTCTCAGACTCATGCAACCTTACTTACTGGTGCACGACCCAGCGGTGCGGGGGGCATCGTGCCGTTGGGCCCTCGGCGTCCTGGGGCCGGGCTCGCTGAAGATCGCCTGCTCGCGGATATTATTAGTAGGAATGTGTCATACAGACTACAGGAGCCACGCTGATACGGTGACCAGCACCGCCATCTAGGTTCTGCGAAGAGCTGCGGGGACCAACTGTGCGCGACCAGCTGTAGTATCATCCCTGTTGAAAATAAGTGACAGGAAATTTATCTAGACGTTCCGCGACCGAGGCTGGCTATGATTCGTGAGGAGCGTGCTCTGCAGAGCAGCGCAGCGCTGTAATATTTTTTATAAGAAAGTCCTGTCAACAAATTATTGTTCAAGAAAGAAATTCTAAACGTAGGAAGTCGTCCAGTCAGTCTGATGTACAGCTCAGTATCATGTGAGAACAGTTCCACTTGGCATGCGGAACAGGACATGGAAATGCCTATTTCAGGCAAGCACGAAAACCAGCTTCCGAAGCTTATCTCGCATTTTGTCACAACAAATTGGATTGAGCACGATACCATGAAACAGTGCGATCTCAATAGCTCTCTTCGGGTGTAATGAATTGTCTTGCAGCCAGGGCCGTCAATACTACTAATATTTGTCATTTAGGAATGGCGGTCAATGAATCGAGGGTCAGGCATAACTCATGTATGAGACTGCGTCCGTCCCGCAGAAGATGGTCTGTCCAAACTGAAGAAGCTCGAAATGGTACCTACGGCAAAGGGGGGAATACGGGCGTCCCTTCCCGGGCCTTGGCAAAAACGCATTTTAGAGTGTCAAAAATGCACTTTCCGATCACAAATCGGGCGCCAACTTATTTCGTCAGGCCACTCTACTACCTCAAGCGTCACTCATGAATGAAATCTTACCAGTAATTACTGATTCTCATGGTGACCCCTTGTGGGGGTTACGGCCCTGCTTGCAGCATATTATGAAGTAGCGGGCTAAATGGGCCGCACGAGACCCTGCTGGGTCCGGGTCGATTTCAGTCGCCAATTTTTCTTACAACGCGTAATAAGTATACGGCAAAGGAGCTGTTATCCACTAAAATTGCTTTGAAGGCTTGATAATGTTCATTGTCATCCTCCGGCTGTACACCCTCCTCGCCAGTGTAAACTCCAAAACGTTCGTACCGAAAAAGAGATCCTAACTTCACCCGTGCTCTCTCTGTCACGTAAGCGGTGTTGCGCAATTACTGGAGTACTGCATGATTTTAAACTTGTCGTTCGATGTCCTCTAGGACATCTGATCGTAATGGCGTAAACACCTGTTTCAGAAAAAGCTTGCGAAGATCCGCCTCATCACGATCACCACGTCCGTTTTAGACACTACTTCAAAATTGTACGACAGAACCCGTTTGGCTTAATTAGAAAAGGCGAGCATATCCTGCCCCTAAGGGGTTCAAGGGATTCATTTGGCATATGATCGTGAATCTTCGTTGTCAGTTACAAGTTGCACGCACTTCGTAGAAATGAAGACATAATGTTTAGTGGTACGTAAGCTGTGAAAGGGCAATTACACTTAATCTGCGGTGTAAGTATTCGTAGCGCCGTGTTTTTGTCGTGGCTAGCAGCTCTGTGGCGACATTGAATTTCGTTAAAACCCCGTTGCATTGAGCCTGTACACGGACATACAGTTTAAAGGGTTCTCCTCGCTACGAAAAGGCCTCACTCAGCACGTCATTACTCCATAGATGTCCTGGATGTAGAGCTGCTTTCTGCCGAGGAAGCTGTTTGAGATGAGTCAGGCGATGTCTTTCTCATAATTGCGTCTGCTTTGCTTTGCGCTTCGGCTAGGATGCGCTGTGCTTGAGCCTCCGCGCTGGCGATTATTTTGTTCTCGCTGGATAAGGCTTCTTCCGCTTGCTTGCGCGCCTGGATAATGATCTTACGGGCTTCCGAGTTTGCCTTATTCAAAGATTTCTCTGCTTGTCTGTCGGCAGCGCGCAGCGTGCTCTTCGATTGCTTTTCAGCATCCTTTACCATGGACTTGGCCATGTCGTCGGCAGCCGAAGGTGCAACTGCTCGTGATCCCGTCGTCATAATATCAGCAATATCCCATCGAAAAATTTTGACAAAAGAGCGGGTCAGAAGGTGCGAGAGGATCCCAGTGGGTCCAAAAAGAAAAGCTAATGTGAGGGAATGAGCTGTCCATACACCGTTACGGATGCCGTCCAGAAAAATCCATCGACCCACAAATAAGTCTTGCGCGATAAAGTGTGCCCAGGCTGTAGCGGTCCCAGCTTCAGTACCTAGTCCTTTGCTGAGTGCGCTCAAGTCCGAGATCGAAGCAAAACCTTCCAGTGCCGCAGGGTCCTGAAAAGCCAAATACGCGCTCCAAGTATAGGCAAGCGCTGCTACCAATACAGGAAGGTACGATGACACAAGGGTCTTAACAAAAGTGTTTGAAGGAGCCAGAATTACGCTAGCCCAAAAAGGCAATATAACAATGTTTTCTGCGTTAAACAAATTTCGGGGAGTTCCAACCGTTTTCAGCGCCCGCAAAGCTGGTGAAAGTGTTTCAGCATCCTTACTCAGCTCTTGTGTTGCCTGCTCTGCAAATTGCGACACCACAGAGAATTTATCACCAAGTTGACGCTTAGTTTGTTCAAGAAACGGTTGGTAAGGTATGAGCACATCTCCCGCTTTTTCCGTGAAGGCGCTCCCAAGACCGGATAACCTAGAGCCGACAATTTCACCGACTTGACTCTTCAAAGCGCTTAATTCAGTCTTTATTTCAGCACCGAGTGGTACGCTTTCAACATCAACTGATGGTATACTAGACAGCGAAGGAAGATTTAAAGACCCGCCTTGTCTTATTTTCTCTAAGGTGCCTTGAAATTCCCGTGTGAAGCCCTTGATGCTGTCGAGAGCACCCGGAGTTGCTTCTTGGGCGGCTTTCAAAGCGTCCTGCAACTGGAGGGGCACCTTAGCCGGCAAATTCAATTTTGGCAACGATTTGACAATGTTGCTTCGAGTATCGGGGTCTGAAAAACTGTCCAAAAGTGCTTTAGCATCATCTATGCTGACGGAAGGCAACGAGTCTTGCAGAGCATTCAGGTCCACCGAGGTCCCATCTCCTGCCACGACAATAAAGGGCAACTGTTGTCCCAGCTCGTGCAATAGAGATGCTCTCAACACCTGACTGCGACTCGGGAAGTGCGAACTTCGCGGTAGCGATGTCTGGAGAAATAAGATAGGCTGGGAGCGAAAAATGAAGCCAGTCGCAGGTCCTGCCATCACAGCCATGACGAAAATGCTGAGAAGAATTTGCCAATCCTTCATGATAAGCACCATAAATGTTAAAAAAGGATGTCCCTGTGATTTTTGAGACTTTCATTCATAATTGGCGGGGCGACTGGACGTTTGTTACTAGCAGTTCGTAATGAAATGGATCCCGCGTGCTTCAACCTCCCCCGGCCCTCAAGACTCGAGCCCGGCCCCAGCCAACCTCCTCCCCCGGCCCCAGCGATCTCGCTCCCACCGCTCCCACTCGCAGCCCTCTGTTGTACAAATACTTGTTGCAACTATGAGAGTATTTTAATTGTATGTGACATTCTGATCCTGTTAGAGCAAGCCGACAAATCTGGGCGAATCCTCCGGGAGTCAAGAAGACGGAGATAGATTTCTACTTGTATCAAGCGTGTAATACGCACCTCTTTGTACCAACTGACATATTTATGTATCGCTCGTAGTAATGCTTCATATTACCGTTTTTCATCCATGTTCAATGTGTGCTGTACGCAGTCGTTTTGATATTGGCATCCATGAAACACAAAATATTTTCCGTCAAAGGGATATGTGTGATGCTTGTCCTGTGTATACCCGCTTTATCGCACCTACGAAGTTGTTGATGTAGGGCTGTACTACACCGGAGAAAGTGGAAGATCAATCGACAAATAATATGATAACACATTTTGTCACCTTTACATGGCGTCTAGTATTTGTACACACCCTATCAGCATCATGCCGCCCAATCATTCGGATATAGACCAAGCACAGAATCGCCTTTCGCCCGCTTACCTCAGTTGCGTTGCAGAGCTTGTCAAGGAATTGATGCATGCGTTTGACGCCCGAGTTCCTACGAATTTGACAAGGTTAACAGCCGATTTAGCACGGAAGCGGAAACTGAAAATCATGCCTCGTTTGATGGACATCATTGCTGCTGTCCCTGAGGAATACAGGGATAAGTTGTTGCCTTTCATTAAATCGAAGCCGGTTCGTACGGCCTCTGGTATCGCCGTCGTAGCAGTCATGTGCAAGCCTCACCGTTGTCCTCATATTGCGATGACTGGCAACGTCTGTGTATATTGTCCCGGCGGACCTGACTCGGATTTTGAATACTCCACACAAGCCTATACTGGCTATGAGCCTACAAGTATGCGGGCCATTAGGGCGCGTTATCACCCGTATGCCCAGACGCGTGGGCGGGTGGATCAACTTAAACGTTTGGGTCACAGCGTTGACAAGGTAGAATTTATCGTCATGGGTGGTACATTCATGTCCTTGAGCGAGGATTACAAAGACTGGTTTATCCGCAATCTTCATGATGCTCTCTCTGGTCATTCGTCGGGCAGTGTGGCCGAAGCTGTCGCCTACATGGAGCATAGCGAAAGTAAATGCATTGGTATTACTATCGAGACTAGGCCAGATTTTTGTCTTAAACCACATTTGAACGAGATGCTATCTTACGGCTGTACTCGCATCGAAATCGGAGTTCAGAGCATTTATGAGGACGTGGCTCGAGACACAAACCGAGGTCACACTGTTCACGCCGTGTGTAACTCATTTCAACTGGCAAAGGAGTGCGGGTTCAAGGTCGTGACACACATGATGCCAGATCTACCCAACATGGGCATGGAGAGGGATCTTCTAGGTTTCCGCGAATTTTTTGAGAACCCTTTGTTCCGAGCAGATGGCTTGAAAATATATCCTACTCTTGTTATCCGAGGCACAGGTTTATATGAGCTTTGGAAAACAGGACAATACAAAAATTATACTCCCGACGAACTCATAGATTTGATGGCAAAGATCTTATCTCTTGTCCCACCTTGGACTCGTATTTACCGTATCCAACGGGATATCCCAATGCCTCTCGTCACTGCCGGTGTTGAGAATGGTAATCTTAGAGAGTTGGCGTTGCGCCGGATGGCTGAACTCGATCTTCCTTGTCGAGACGTCCGGACGCGCGAAGTAGGTATTCGTCAAATTCATCAAAGTGCTCGCCCACATGAGATTGAGCTTGTTCGTCGCGACTATACGGCAAATGGCGGATGGGAAACTTTTCTGAGCTACGAAGATCCTCACCAAGACATCCTTATTGGGTTGCTACGTCTCCGAAGGCCTAGCGCTGTTACATTTCGTCCTGAGATCCTGAACAATTTCTCTTCCGTTGTAAGGGAGCTGCATGTCTACGGCTCAGCCGTTCCCTTACACGATAGAGATCCAAATAAATTTCAACACCAAGGTTACGGCAGGCTTCTTATGGAGGAGGCAGAACGCATTGCCAAACATGAGCATGGTTCTGCGAAGATAGTAGTGATAGCAGGAGTAGGAACTAGAAATTATTATCGCAAGCTCGGATATGAACTGGAAGGGCCTTACATGAGTAAGTACTTGCAAAAAGGCAACAGACCACCCGTAGAGTATCAAGCGGGCAAAATGCATATCGATGGATTGGAAATGGATGAAAGAAATGGCCTACAACTGTGAAATTTCCAACATTAACCTTGTTTAGATTCAGCGCGCATCACATTGTCTTATTTAATGTGAATATCATGACTACAAGTTATCAGGTTCAAACTGACTACAAAGAAGTCAGTCGTCACAAATTTCATTCATTTTTAGTGCCAAAAGGTATTTGATATTGATCGAGAAAAGAAAACGAGAAGCTACTATCAGTTGTTAAACCAGGGATTAATTATCTTCAAACTCTTGCAAGTCACCTAACGTCACTATCGCAATAAATTACCCGCGTCTCAATGTCATTAAAAAGAAAAAGGCCATTGCATAAATAATGAATTCTTTCCGCGTGTTTATAAAGCCATGGTTTGAAACTTTTATAATTGGAAACAGTGAATTTCTGGGGAGGAACCAAGTTTATCGCTGGAAATTTTATTCGGAGATAGCCCTCTAAGGATAAGAGTTTGTACCTTACACTCTTCTCATAAGCTTCTACCGCATTTCGACAGCGATGAGTCTCCTTGTAGAACAAATAACTTAAAAGAGGTAGAATCTTACTTTGAAGAATAAGTCTTGCTTGTACTTGACCCCGCAAAGAAGACTTATGATCGGCTTTACTTATATTTCGTTATTTTAAAGAGGTTAGGGAGGACAACTTAAGACTTGTACTTCTTAGCAAACATCAGCAGGTTTTATCCCATAAGTATGATGAATCTTACTATGGGCAAATGTTAGAGGTTAACGAAATATCATCGATCCGAACGAGATGTTGGGATGTTTTTCGGATATGGCATGACATTTGCTCTATCAAGGGCGATGAGATGAGGAACAATAGACTCATATAATACATATTCTTTTTCATTTCACTATCAAGCTCTCAAATAGGTTGATGGGTAAACACGAGTAAAACTGAAAACCGATACTTAAAAGGATAGTCAATGATGGGAATCAATCTGTGTACTATACTTATCACTTCTTTTAAAGAAAATAGTTAACACTAAGTTTTAATGCGATGCGACATAACTCACTATTATTTGTTCGACGTATACTCATTCTCGCAGGCCTGTGCAAACTTCATGAGTTGGTTTATGCCTTCATTTTTTGTGACTTAAAATGATTTGTATTCCAATGACATGAAGCGCTATAAGCATCCTTTATTTAGCCAATGTAAAAATCGCCCGAGTTCACATTCAATGATTTTTCGACTGAAAGAGGACCGGAAATTTGTAAAGTGGTTTATAGATCTCCACATTCTACGCAGACATGTCAAATATTCTTCCAACTATAAGCATTCGACTCAATCAGACATTGGGATGCAATCCTTATTGAGGCTCCCCCCCAAAAAATAACACATTGATTGGCTTCCTAATTTCCCTCGAACACTTCGATTGACTTATAATCGAGTTTATGTCGTTAGGCTCAAAGAGGGTTGAAAGAGCATCAAGCGGCAAAATTTTGATATGAGTAAATGTAATAGTGCACTTCTAGTACGGATTGGCAGTACTCATAAGCCAATGTCTGCGAGGACAGTAGAGCGTGCTTTTCTTGGTTATCGAGCAGTTGTCGGATAACCTCTTTTTTGGACTTGTAAGGTAGGTCGAAAGAGGTCATCTCGTAAAAGTAATTACATTCTGTTCTCAAGTCATGTCTCGAGCACACAAATCCTTTTTGCAAGTCCGTGAGAGTCTTAGGTTCAATTTTCTGGAGTCGTGGGCCTCAGCCCCCAAGAGGTACATTGAGTTTTTCACGAAAAAGAGCTTTCTTAAAGAGGCCAGTGGAAGTAGCATGAAACTTCAAAGTCCATACTTTTTATCTTCCCCACATTTTCTCATCCCTATTATTCGTTCACCGTTTGCATTTTTGATGATAATGCTTGCCTGCAGACTTAGAACGCAGACGGCAATAAATTACTATCGATGCAAAGTTACATGCGTGAATACAAGCCATAACGCAGTTATATAAGGATATTTTCTCGCATAGAGCGATTAAAGCGACCTTCTATTTCAAGTCTATTAAGAAAACCAAGAACGATTCCCGTAAGTCCTGGCGTCAGCGTCACTATGCAAAGATGTACCCTGAGCACTCTTAAAAACGCCTGATTCTGCTATTTTGACAAGTACATGGTATCTATGTCTCCATCGGCATCTTTGAATGGAGTCACACTCTCACATTCCTTTTCCTCCACGTAACTTGAGGCAACGTCGCACCTTGCTTCCTGCCACCCAACAACTTCGTCGCAGCATGCATCATATCGCTTATGAAGAATGTGTAACGAGTCAAATTCATAGCTGTAGAAAGCCAAGATAAATAACCACAATATTTCCACAACTTTGAATGAATTTTCATTGTTGAGTGAGTGGGGGAAACATGTGGACACAAAACTAAAAGTCGGGCGACGGCTGCAGGCGTCGTGTCGCGCATGTTCGCGCAAAGATATTTTTTCCCTTGTTCCGTGCTTTACAACGTAGCTGCGTGTGGTACATGGTGCATGGTTGCTCCCTGTCTACCAGGCACCATGCGCATTTTAATATATATTTATTTCACGTTTATATCTGCGTCTGGTCGTAGTATCAATGAAAAAGAGCTACCTATAGACTACCATTCCGGGCGTTGCGTGGTGCGGCAGAACCCTGCATTTTGGGGACTCATCTGATGATATTGTTTCCTTGCCTCTCGTTGTTTTGTACTTGAGCCGAGTAGAGAGAATTCTGACTATGCTAGTCAATGTAATCAAGCGTTATTTACAAAGAGGTGTATGGTTTTGGAAATAATATCCTCTTTGATTAGCCGTGAGGTCGGTCGCACGTCGTGGATTGACCAACCTAACCTAGTACCTTGCGCCGCGTCTCTCTGAGAAGCTTGGGGCTAAAATAGACAATCCCGGTAAAAGCTCGTCAGTATTGTCTCCAAGGTTTGATGGAAATCAATCCATGAAATTCTTGATTACATTTTAATTTCCTCGAAAACATCTGTTTGCTCTTTCGTCGGCTGGGAATGAAATTTTGTGTTACCAGTCCCAATAAATGGTGTTATTGTTTCAAGCCAACTCATACGAATTCAATCTTGCATACTATCAACACAATAACAGTCAGCAATTGGACCATGTGGCAGCATGATAGAGGGCGCCACGGTTCAGCTACAAAAGGTAATTTCATATCGCTCGCTCGAGGTGACGAAAGTCAGGAATCAAGCGACCCGGACGAAGAAAATGTCTTCGATTTAGATGTAGATACCGACTCCAACAGCGGAAAAGACCTCTATGGAGGAACAGAGAGGGAGAAGGAGGCAATGGATGAGGAAGAAGAAGACGACGACGAGGAGGAGGAGGAGGGGGAGGAAGAGGAGGAAGAGGAGGAAGAGGAAGAGGGTGGGAGTGGCGATGAGGACAGAGATGACCAGGAAGCAGAGCTCCAGGACGTGCGGCGATGGGGAAAGCATAAAAATCAGTACTACAGTGCGGATGCTGTAGATTTGGAAATAGGGCAGGATTTCGAAGAGGCAGAAGAAGAGGAAGTTGCAGCGCGCGAGGTGGAGCAGGCGCGTTATGATGAGGTGGAGGAGAATGATTATCTAGATGGCTGGAATACAGATAAAAATATCCTGGTTCAAAAAAATAAATTCATGCGTCCTGAGATCGGGATGCATAGTATAACAAAGCCAAACACGCAGTCGATTACTAGTGGGCTGAGCTCGTGGCAAGAGTCCATGATGGATCAAACCGAGATGGAGATGGCTCAGCTTGAACAGGGTTTGTTGACCACAAGCACAGCTGGAAAGCTGCGAATGCTTTCAACTAGCTCGCCAGAACTATTGACGTTGCTAGAGGATTTCAAGGACAAGCTGAGCGAGCTACAGGATCGCGTGGAGCCATTGGCAGAGATGGCGCGAGATGTAAGTAACAGTTGATTTCAATAATCGGCATTAGTTTGGGTGGAGGACATTGTAACAATTGGACCCGTTAAGAGGCATAAAGCTCTAACTTAAGTGACCTGCTGAGGGCAAATTCGTTGCGAAATGAATTTACAGCTGTGTACTGTCCTACGTCCTCTTGTGGCTGCCTATCCATATCTTTTAAATCCTTCTCCGTTTGCCTTGTCCTAGTCTTTGAAAAAGAGGTGGAAGTGGCTTGAGCGTGTCGGTTCAAAGGATGCACAAGAAATGTAGAGCGGCTCGTCTCTGTCGAACGAGCACTTTGTGTCCAAACACATTTTAATATCTTTTCATGTTTTGGTATGGATTAGATGATATGTTGGAATGCCTGGTGTCCTGAAGCATTTGGTTGCCTCATATGTCTTTTGTGTCCTTTAGTGTTTTTGGATATCATGAGATTGACATTTATACGCGTATGCAATCATACGTCGAAAAATATGTACAGGGAGCTTGTGCAGTGCGCCTGAATGAAGAGGGTGTGGCCTATTTAGAAGTGAAGCAGCAGTTGCTTCTGAATTATTGTTTGAATTTGACCTATTATCTTCTCCTGAAAGCTGAAGGCCGTGCTGTGAAAGATCATCCTGTCATTGCACAGCTCGTAGAGCTTCGTGTCGCGCTGGAAAAGATGAGGCCCCTTGATGCAAAGCTCAAATACCATCTTGACCGGCTTACGAAGGTCGCTTCTGTCGACGGATCCTCTAGAATACACGATGACCCTCTCTCCTTTCGGCCAAACCCAGACCTGTTGGTAGGAAAACGTGGTCAGGACCGAGTGGAGGATGGAAACGGGAAGGATCTTGACAATACAGAGGGAAATGGCCACAGGGAGGTCTTGTATCGCCCTCCTCGTCTTGCTGCTGTACCGTATGGGGAAAAAACGGGGGCTGATGGTGGACGTGAGAGTAAAAATGAGGCTTTGGCACGCAAGAGACTTGAAAAACTGCGTCGGTCAGAGCTGCTTCAGACCCTGACTGAGCAATACAGAGACAAGCCCGAATTGGTAGCAGAGCATAAATCGCTGGAAAACTCTGTTCAACAGAGAGCAGATTACGCAGAGGAGGAGCGGCGAATTTTCGAGGAGGAGCGCTTTACCCGCCTAGTAACTTCCCGGAGGGACAAGAAGGCGCGGAGATTGGCGAATGAGCAAGCGACGCGGCTAGAGACTATTGCTGATAT